ATCACAGGTGATGCTGTAAATCACATATACACACTCAAATATTGAGCCACTTTAATTAAATACAATTCGGAATAACATTGTTCTGTTGGCTTTTTCTTTAAATACATAGCTTATCCCATTTTCACCAAAATTGACTTGATTGATTTCATTTAAAACTATTTTATTAAATAGGACTACATTTATGTTTTCATATAAATTAAGAGCGATATATCCAATACATTCGATTTTAAATTGTGTGATGTTTTGATATATATAGATGGCTATATTCGCAATACATCGTGTTGGTTGTAAGTGAACACATAATTGAAGTATGACCAGTATATGATTTGACTGTCATATTTCCAAAAGTAAATAAAAACAACATTATATTGATTGAACTGTCTTCATAAATAAGAATCTTACGTAATCATAAACAGTGATTTGTTTAAAATAATCCATAGTTTGTATTTTTAAAAATATATCTTTTTCAATCGACAATTCAGTGTTATAGAAATAATAATAAAAATCAGACATGTCAACCCAAGTTAATCCACTTGCAAATTTAAGTTTACAATTCACATTAAGATCTTCATTACATGGACAGTGTGGATAGTCAAACGCGCCTTCCATTGTTGATGTATATGTAGTATAATTATTTTGTTTCAAAGTACAAACAACTTCTTTGTCAGGAGGTGTATCGTTTGGGCAAAATCGTATTAACTTTTTGTTTGAAATGAAGTACCCTTCCCCGTTGTGAAGTTGTATGAATATTCAAACGTGTCTGATGTAATGTGATATTGATTGGTTGATGTGTCTAAATTTAAATTATTATTAAGTAAAATGACATCAAAACACTTTGTGTCACCCGTTGGATCCACAATATTAAAATCGGGTCTGTCAGAGTAGTTAATAGTGAGTTGAAGATACGTTGAATTCCACACAATAATTCTTGGGTTGTTTAATTCCGGATCGATCAAAGTAAGGTTTCCAGCAATTGACATTCTCCCGAACACACTTGTATAGTTAATAAGATTAATTGAAGCATTTGGTTCAATGATAAGCGTTTCAATTATTTTTAAATTAGTTACACAGAGCAATTTCATATCCTTTGCAATTTGAAGAGTTTGAGTGTTCTGCCAATTATCATCAAAATCAGAATAAAATTTTGTGTTGTTAGTAACAACAATTGTATTAATTTTTAACAACACAGACGAGAATTCTAAATCCGAAGAAAAGCAAACAGAATTTGTTGTTACTGAACAATTTGAAGGAATAAACCCGTTGTCTCCGTTGGTGCCAGTTGGTGTACAATCACAATGATATCCATTTGTTGTTAAAAGAAATACAACAAAAAATACGAATTTTATTGGTGTACAAATGTTTGAAAAATAAGTTGAAAGACATTCATCTTCAACTTTTTAGTTGTATTTATATTTATAACTGGTTCATTTGTTACAGGTTTGAATAAATATTTAAAAATGACTTTCAATGGTAAATATATCAACTAATGTATCAACTTAATAAATAAAAAAATACAATATTTTTTCTCATTCACTTCTAAAAATAAAATAATGACTAAATAGTGTTACATTTAATTTTTTTTCAAAATACTTTTAAATTATTCACATATAAATAATAATATTTGTTATATTTCAAATTGTAAACTTTTTTTGGTACTTTTTCAACCTATTAAAAATGTCTTATTTCGAAAAGCTATTTAAAAAAACAAATATGGCAACAAATAAAATTTTAAAACACGTGTTTTTAGAAAGTCAAATATATAATTTAGGCCTTTCTTATCCCATGGATGGTTTAATAGCTATTAATTTTAATAATTATTTTTTTAAAAAAAAATAATGATAATAATAGACAATTGTTAAATTATTTTATAAACAAATATAAA